TCTTTAGCAAATCTCACCTGAGCTACACAATGAAGTGCCAGGAATCGGATAGAAAAGCCCAGTGTTCGATATCCTTTATTTGGTTTTTCTGAAGAAAAAAAACATGGGTCTGGTTGAAGGCTTTCTTTGTCTGTTTTTGTAATAGTATATCTTTGAATGTCTCATACTGCATGGGTTTAGTGAGAATGAGTTACGCATACCCCTTAGTACATCTTATTTCAAGAAACACATCCCATAAACATTTACTTTTTCTTATAAGGTTCAGACAATGGTACAGAAGACATTGAGAACAATTCACCAAGGAACTAAGACTGACAAGCAAAATAAATACTTAAAGTCACTGATATGGTAGTGAAAACAGGGGTATATACACATAGGAATCTTCATATTGACTGGGTGAGTCTCCTTTTCTATTTAGAACTTACAAAAAAAAATGACAGAAATGCATGATACTAACAAAAGTTTTCTCATTTTGACGGGCCCATAGCTTCTTCAGACAGTACCCTGGCATGGAGTGGGCACTGTCAATATTTGCTGAATGAGGAAAAGCATGACACTCTCATTTAAAAACACACTAAGTGGGGCGCCTGGGTGGCTCAGTAGGTTAAAGCCTCTGCCTTCGGCTCAGGTCATGATTCCCAAGGTCCTGGGACGGAGCCCCGCATGGGGCTCTCTGCTCCGCAGGGAGCCTGCTTCCCCCTCTCTCTCTGCCTGACTCTCTGCCTACTTGTGATCTCTGTCTATCAAATAAATAAATAAAATCTTAAAAAAAAAAAGTTTAAACTCTAAGGACCTTGGATCTCTTATTTATAAAACAGAACGAAGTTCCTATCCATAGGACTATGAAAAATATCAAAGTATCAGAATCCAAATGTGGAAATACTTGCCAAATGAAGGGTGACATACACAGCCAATGATGGTTATTATGCCCATCATTAGTCTTATTTTCTCCTGACGTCTCCACTGTTTAACTAGTATCTATTTATAGAGAGGATGATGACATCCTGTCTATTAAGAAACAATGATTTTCCATCTCACTTTCTCAATAAATTAAACAATTGTATTTCAACTTAAAGAGCATTTAAAAGTTCTCCAAAACATTTTATTCACATAGATAATCACTGACCTTCACTGCTACTGTTTGTACTTGAGGTTTCTAAGGGGTATTCTCAATGGAAACGTTAACTGGAACAATAAATATAAAATCATCAAAAGTGATTAAGATATATGATGATGTCATTCCTTGTAAAGGACAGTTGAATCACTGACACTGAATAATCTTCCTGAATAACTAGGTGAGATAAGAAAATAGAGGTTTACATGTGGCCATGTGTGGAGTCAAATGAAGAGAAGGCATAATCCTTTATGTGTAGAAGGTATGTGTACTATCAGATTAAAGACTAACATGACAATTATTTTTTCTATTCACCTTGCTTCTAGGAGAAACTTGATCTTCCTGGCAGAAAGTATGCTTTCCAGGAACCTATAATCTTATTGATCCAATGTAAATATCCAGGGGGAATGAGAAAGCTGAACATGTCAAGACACTATTTTCAAAAATTTATAGAGTTGTATCAAGGCCTGATTAAATTTGTCATTCTTATATGAATCCAATCAGATAAATTCTTGAATAGGTATAGGGAAAAAATGAGCTCACCCTTGTAAGTTTGCTTTGGAAAGAAAATACCAATTAAATATGAAATATAGACTTTTCATAAAATGCATGAAATATTTAATCTTTAGTAGAAGGTCTAAGAGAAATAATCTATACATTGGTATCCAAGAATCAATTTACTAAAAGATTAGAAAATAGATGACATCACTTGACTAGGACTTTCCTGAAATTAACCCCTTTACTTGAGCTCATGATGTCTATTCTTGTCAGCAGCTACAGTGCCGTATTTAATGTCCCTTCCTTGCCTTAGTTCATGTGTCCTGAATTCAAAGAAATTTTTCCTTGAACTTAATTCTCCCTGAAGCAGCATTAATCCTCTCTCCCCCTTTTACTTGTCAACTTTGAAAAAGAAGCTTGCATCTGCTGGTATCTCTGCTTTGAATTCACCCTTCAACCCAGTGGGCTTCTAGTTCTATTATCTTCACTTGGCTGTCAACCCAAACCTAGCAATTACAGAAGGTAACTGGTTCTTCTAATTTCTCCTCATCCTCTGGACAGTCATTTCTGCTCTCTGTTCTTATCCTTTAACTGTAGTCTCATTTTCCATAGAGTTCTATCCTCATCATGTAAAACCCAAATTCATTACCCTTTATCTGCCATCATGTTGTCCACTCTCTATCCTGTATTCCTCATGTCAATGTCACCACTCACTTACATGTTCAGGGTGAAAACTTCAGCATTCTTTTTGATTCTCCTACCCCTTGGCTGTCTGTCCCTCCCCCCACAACCCCCCCCTCCACACACACATAAGCACACGCTATTTTCTAAGCCCCCTGCCAGTAGACCAACTTCATCCCACCTCCATTTCCTTCACCCGGGCCTGTATTATGTTTAGCCAACTTTTTTTCTACAAATTTCAAAATGATCTACTTGCCTATAGGCCCTTCACTCTCGATAATCATTTAACAACAGGATAATTAGAAGCAACAAAAATAAGAATATGAGCATGACAAATCCCTGCTAAAAACCTCTGAGACTCTTGGGTCCCATAGACTGTATTCAAATCTTCTTTCTATCCTGCCACATTTCGCTATTGACATCAACCAGACTGTCACTATTTAAGTGAGCCATGATTTTCTAGGCCTCACATTATGCAAATGTTGCCCCTCTTAGTTGCTTTTCCCTGCCTGGCAAACTGTCCTTCTCCTCTCTCCGCTCCCATAATTTTGAATGTGCCTCAAGGACGGTGCTCACCATTTTTTAGTATAATGGTCTAAAACGTCAGCCCTTGTACTATCTGCAGATTCGCAGCTTTGAATATAACATATTTGCTCACTAAGTTTACATTTTGTGTGAATGAGTAAATGAGTATCTCAAATTTCAAAGGTGAGAATACGGGACAAAAATAACATAGGACAGGGCCATTGGGAAAAGAAAGTTGTTTTGGGGTTAAGAAGAATGGACACAATTGTCCACATTATACACTGAGTTAATGATGGATATATACTAATAATGAGAATAATAGTTGACTAGAAAATATAAATTCCCAGAAAGCATTTAAGTGCTACAGATCTGGAGCTCAACTCAGGTTGTAGGACTAGAGATACTGAACAGTATGTCATCTGGTGAAAGCTGATAGTTGAACCCATATAGAGAAGAGTTTTCCAAAGCACAGACTAGAGGTAAGGGACTATACTTTGGGGAAATACGTTGCAGGGTAACAAAAGATGCTGGTGAACGGGAGGTTTGTGAGCAGGAAGGAAGAGAGACTACACAGCGATGAAGGGCAGGAAATGAGATGTACCTTGTATTTCCTCTAATGACAAGCACCATTCCTTCTACCCAATGGGTGACTGAGAAATATTACTTAAATTAATGGATCTTCTGAGGTGAATAGGAATGGAAGATAGATTTCAGAATATCAAGGCAATACAACATGGTAAGGAACCAGAGACAACAGATGTAGTCTGTGGGATAGAGGCAGGAAGATGGGGAGACCCAGCACTGACTGAAGAAGTTTCATTGTCAAAAAGGCAGAGAAAAGCAAAAGTAGATTGAACATTTTTGGAAAGACGGTCTAGATCTGTGATTCATGAAAGGCAGGTGCTGAGACAATTGTACCTGTAGCTCACAGGGACACACATTAGGGATTACATGTCGTCTTTCCCAGAATGACTAGAACTGAGACCTGTCATTCCATGAGATGACTAGTTAACTGAGATGAAGAACCCTGTCTTGTAGTTTTCTTGTATCTCCTGCAGGGCCTCAAACAGAGATAGCTACAAAATTGGAGTTTAGTAACTCAGTATTTGAATGAAAATGCCTGCAGTTTAGTTGTTCATTCTTGAAAAAAATATACTATCATCATCTTACAGCTATTAATAAAATGACAACCAGAACCAAGGCTTGTGAGAAATGGGTAAAATACAATTTCATTTCTAGAGCCTCATTTATACCTATCGGGCATATGTTGATCATCTGTTGGCAAACCAAGAATAACACTGGACCCTCAGGGACCCCAGACCATCTAATTCCTTATGATGAATTGCAACTTGTACTGAGTTTTTGAGATGGTGTCATGAAAGATGGTGTTATTGAACAAACGTCCAGATGCAAGAGGAGGAAAGTGGAGACAGAGACTATACAGGGGCAGAGTTACAAATAATAGCATAGCTACTGAGTAAGAGTACGTTCCTATTTAGGAGGCTCCAGAAATCAGAAAACTAATGAACACTACAGTAAACACAAAAATGGAGTGTTCTGAGAAAATGAGTTAATAATGGTATAGGATCTGCAAACTTGCTTATCAGTTTTAATTATTCTCCAAGCTGTGCCATGTCTTAAATGACATTCAAATCTGCCCAATGTTTCCATGCTTGCCTCTAGTGATTAATATTCCAAAAATGGTTAAATTTTAGCAAAACCCTCCCAATCTCTCTCAAGTGATATGGCAAACCCGTGCAAACATCTATACCGTACACCACTGAGATATATTCAAACTGCTATTCAGTCTATTATCATAAGGTTTTCAAACGGAGTTTGAAGCATTTTGAAATATCAGAAAATGTTCATGTGGCTAGGTAGCTACAATTCAGGTCCTGAATATAAGCTAATATTTTAAGTATAAATGTTTCTATTAAACATTTAATTCTCACTTTTCTCAGATAATGTCTTCTCTGGGAAAATAAATGTTTCTTTTCGAGAGGGACAAGGTACTCAAGTTAAATCTACCATTTATCTTCAGCTTATGTAATTTTACTCACTGTTCTTTCAAACATAAAAAATGATGCAGTTAAAAAAAATATATCATTGGTTTTATGACCGGATAAGTGTGCCTGATTTTCTATAGAAGTTCCGTTTTCCTTTTGCTCATCATTATACTTACATATCACTGGCAATGGAGGAGTTCCGGGACATTGACTTCGGAGACAGGTCATAATCGCTATCAGATCGATACAGAAAAGACTCACGACGCTGACTGTGGACAAAGTTTGCTTGGAGAATTAGCCCGGATCCTGGGCTGGTCATGGGATCCAAGGGACTCCGTCCCGCAGATGTGCCATTGTCCACATCAAAACTGTAAAAGAAGGAGAAGGAATAACATTGCTATGAATGCTTGCTTGCAGATATTTTAGTAAAGGGAGATTTCAGTTCAGGAAGTCAAAGTGGGAACATTGACAGCTGATATCCACTATTAAGACATGATAATATTAAAACACACAAAAGTTAAAAAAAAAGACACATGGCTTCATATTCTTGTCTTCCTTAAGTTTAGGGTACTTTTGTTCATCAGGGTACTTTTGTTTATTTTGTGTCTCTCTAAACTGGAGATTAAAAGGAACCGTTGTGCAAAAAATAGTTCTACTAAGTATATTCTACTAAAGAACCATTCTACTAAGAATAGTTCTACTAAATTTCTTTTAGGAAAAGAACAAATACATAGTAATCCTGTAATGATTTGGGTTCAATTCAACAAGTTCCCATTATACGCCTAACATCATCACTTCCCAAAACCTGGGCTCTCTTCCATCCCACCTACACCCATCCAAACATGAATTTCTGCTGGATCCATTTCCCTCCACCCTCACATCCAATATATTAAGTTCAGGATTTCATCAACTCCTACTACATTATTATAGAGCCTTTAAGTTAGTCTCTTGAATCCATTTTCCAGTCTGTACCTCGTGGAGAGTCTTCCTAAAGTTTAAATCTGACCATGATCTTTGTCAGCTCAAAACCCTTCAGTAGTTCACTATTGTCCTCAGGATAAAGTCCGAATTTCTTGGGTGGACTGACAGAGTCTGAACTACCCATTTTCAGTTGTAACAACCATATTCCCAACCTCAACTTGCAACCTTTTCCCATCTGCCACTTTGTTCCACTTAATGAACCACCACCTCCTTGTCTCAATCAGGCCATCACTACCTAAAAATGTCCTCATTGTTGCTCATCTTTGAAGACTCTACCTGAAATGCTGCCCTGATGCCCCACACCCTTATGATATGCCTTTCTCTGTGCTCCCAAGACAACTTCCCGCTGCTCGCATTTTCAACGGACTGAAAATGTGTACCACTTGGTCTCTATTCCTAGACTGTGAGTTCTCTGAGAATGGAGACTCTGGGTGTTCTTAGCACTTCACATGGCAACTCAGAAATCTTTACTAAGCAGTTCATGTAGGTTACTGAATAACTAGAAGACACTGTGCTGAGCAATACAGACTTTAGAGGTGGGAAAAGACAAAATCACAAATGCACAGTTCTTAATGTCATAGTCCTTATAATTGAGATAAACTTTCTACAAAGAGCTTTTCTAGTCATATATCAACCAGTATTAATGTTAAGTCTCATGTGCTCTTATGAGAGGGCTATAAAAGCTCAGATAGCCCAGTAAGTATGTGGTTTAAAAATTTGTTGAACAAATAAATAAATGAATTCAAGTTTAGTTGTTATCAATGTTTTTCCCATTACAGACGTTATGTAAACTGGTAACTAATTTAAAAACATTCTTTTATTTTCTCCATTGGAGTTATTATTAAATAGTATTATGACTCCAAGATTGGAGGCCAATGTAGAAGTGAAAGGTTTGATGTTTCATAAATCACCTGTGAGTCTATACTAAATAAGAAACACTGACTCCAAATTAATCCATCTAGTAAAAGAAAAGAAAACTTCATATTCTAACTCCAAATTAATCCATCTAATAAAAAAAAAGAAAGAAAAACTCATATTCTAACTTGGCCATTCATAAACAAATTTTCCAATTTAAATTTTTTGAAGGATTGCACCACTTTATAGATGTATTTATTTGGTCACCAAAGACAATGAGAAGTTTTCGAGTTGAACAGACTCGTTTTATAGATAGGATACCAGCTCCTAGAGAAGTTAACTGGGGACACCTGGGTGGCTCAGTCAGTTAAGGGTCGGCCTTGGGCAGGGTCCTGGGATCGAGTGCCACACTCAGTGGGGAGCCTGCTTCTCCCTTCTCTTCCCTGCTTGTGCCTTCTCTCACTATCTCTGTTTTTCTCTCTCTCAAACAAAAAAATAAATAAAATGTTAAAAAAAAAAAAAGAAAAGTGGGGCGCCTGGGTGGCTCAGTGGGTTAAAGCCTCTGCTTTCGGCTCAGGTCATGATCCCAGGGTCCTGGGATCGAGCCCCGCATCGGGCTCTCTGCTTAACAGGGAGCCTGCTTCTTCCTCTCTCTCTGCCTGCCTCTCTGCCTGCTTGTGATCTCTCTGTCAAATAAATAAATAAAATCTTTTAAAAAAAAAAAAAAAAGAAAAGTTAATTGGCCAAAGTTACTGAGCTAACGAGATTTAATCATCTACTGTTCCTGAAGCTCTTCCAGCTCTAATGAATAATTAGTAAACCATAAATGTATGTTAGCAACTGTGACATGCAAGCAGGGGACATCTGTTTCCCTGGACAGGGAATTTCATGCAGGTGGGACTTTGGGCATTCTTGAGGAAGGCCAGAGGGGGGAAAGGATCTCCAATCACGAGAGATTTATTCAGGACCTCAGGCAAGCTCTTCTTGGATATGCTTAACTAAATAAGCACTTATTAAGCATCTCTAATGAGCACACTGAGATACAAAAATAAAGGTGATAAGATGAATCCAAGCTGGGTTTAATCCAGACTTCTAAGAAGTTTTCATATAATAGTAGTATTTTAAGAGGGCTTTTGAAAGCATTTAGTATTCAACTGAAAGACACTAAAGTCCTTTAAATAGGAAGAGAAAAAGGGAGATTTCTTCTCTGGGGACACAGTCATTGCAGCTTTTCAGTATGCGGAGGACCTAATGTGAACGTGTAAGAAAACGTTTATGTCTATTTCCCTTCAGATGCTTTTACTGTTTTAAAGGTAAAATATATTTCACTGCTATGCATAAGTAGAAATATAAGAGATACAGGAGTGACTCCTGGTTTAGTTTTTCTCAGTTCAACTGAATAATACCAATACCATCCCCCAAATCAGTAAATTCTTTTACTATTACAATTTTTCCAATTAAGTTAAGCAACTTCTCAAACTTTTCACTGTAAGTTTTGGGAAAAAATAGTGCTAAGTATCTTAAAATATTTAATAGTCTTCATAACAGTGCTACTTATTAAAACCAAAAATTTATTAATAAGTCAATAAAATGTTTGGTATGGGATATTATAGGGGCTTTGTTCTTTTTCTATGTAGGCTGTAATGTAATATTTTGTCCACTAGATGGAGACCACCACCTTAAGGAACATCTACTGTAAATAAAGGCCAAAACTATTTTTTATACTCATGAAAACAACCCCATAACGATTATACCCAAAATAAAACCTCACAATCTGTAGGAAGTGATTACCAAAGGTTGGTACAATTATATTAACTAGTAAGTATTAGTATTAGCTTTACAGATTGAGAATGATTACAAAAAAAAAAAAAAAAAAGGTCCCTGGTGTTTTATCATTTATTTTTATTTAAAACAAAACAAAAACAAAAAAACTTGAGATGCTCTTTTGTTCAAAATTAGAACTAAGGAGCTTCCTTGAGGAAGTCAGGTTTGGGACAAATCAAGGCAGTACTGCTTCTCTCAGTGAATAGTAAATTAACTGGGAGTTAATTTAGGCTGAAAATATAGGTGGGTTCACATAAAATACTTATTTTTGAAACACAACTTTATAAACAGTCCATGTCAAGTCGTTATTAATAAAACAAGAAGGCAGTGAAGTTTAACCCTAACCTTAGATACCTGAACCAAAGAGACCAACCAACCCTGAACTTCTTAAGCACACTCTTTGGCAAACATTTTCATGTAACGAATCTTCTCGTGACTCACGGCCAAAGAGATAGAGTCCAAGTAAAAGATTAGCAGAACCTTGGGAAAGTAATTGAAGAATTGGGGAGAGTAATAATGATGATGGTGGTAACAGTAATCATCATGATAATAATGACAGTAAAACTTCTGGAACACTTTCCATGAGCCAGATCTTGTGCTCTGTGCCTTACATTATCTCATTGAATCCCCACAATAACCCTCTGAAGTCGGCGTTATATTTTCCACTTGACAAGTGAATAATCTGAGTCACAGAGTAGTGGCTCCATATTAAATAATGTGTTCAAGGCTATGCAGTTCACAGGTGGGTTTTATACTCAAGCTGTCTTGAATCCAGAGTCTGGGAGAATGATCACTGTGTGTCTGTCTCTACTGCAAAGCCACCTACTAACCATTAGAAAAGTACAAGAATATCTTTTAGCTTCCTCCCCTCGATGGAACTTCAAATGTTAACTCTTTGAAAGGATCATTCATATGTAAGTATCATTAACTTACAGATCTTGCATGTCAAACCTAATTCTGAGACTCTGCCTTTATGAGTCCCCACATTTTGGAATTTGCCACCTTTCCTATTTTTCCAGTTATGAAGACAACAGTAAGGTGTAAAAGAATGTCTGCTGTAACCCATCTGATGGACTTCTTTATAGAGCTCAAGAGTTCATTTGGAATAAGGGCAGTCGGTGGGTCTGCAGAAGGTCTTAGCAAATGGAACTAAGTGAGATGCTCTATTATTCTACATGTTTGCTGTCCTTCATGCAGTTCAAGGATGCATACATTCCCTAATGGAGCTGGCTTTCACCCAGAAGTCATGTGTGGAGAAACACCGATGTAGTTGTGGATGGCACCCCGTGAAGGGGCAGGAAGAGTGATGATCAGGTGGCCCTCCCACTATCGAACTGTTAAGGGTCATGTGTACTAGCACTACTCAGACCACTTCCTCCACAGGCTCGTCCTTTTCTGTGGACTCCATTCCACACAGAAACCAAACAGATAACAGACAAACCAACCAATCAACCCAACTGTTCCCTATCTCTCCACACTGTCCCCTGTGGGTGGAATGACTTATCCTGACCCACCTTCCCTTCAGCTTCCTCCACTGCTACCACAGTTTGGGTCTCCTGATCTTGCAATTATTTGCTTGGAGTCATTTCCCATCTTTTGGCCTGATGTTCAACCCTGCTTCTGTTGAGACATTTTGCCTCTCTTCTTGGCCATGATTTGGGCTTTCATCTGAGCCATGGTCCTGCTATTGTGCTGGGTAAGCAGCTCA